GCATACCTCCAGCTAAACATACGATTCATTATTATCAGGCAGGATAATATTGTAAAGGAACCTCTTAATCTTAATAAATACTTAAAGCTGTTTTAAAAATCCTGGCTTACAACACACTTTACTTCATTTGTAGTTACTCTTATCTAAACATTTCCAGACTTCAATACCTATTAGAAAACTAGAGAGCGCATGTGTTTGGACTTTGGGAGTACAGGATCGGGTTCAGGCATAGCTCAGCTGCACGTTTGACACTTTGCCAGCATTCGCTGGCCTCAAGGCTTAAACATATCAAATAACTCCTGAAGTGACAAGCAGGGTTTCAAGGTTACATCCGGTAGAAAAAATATATTAAATATTAGTCACCTAATGAGAGATAAAACTCAATACTGTTGACTTTGAATATCTAAATGTAATAGTTAAACTAAGATCATGTTTGAACAATAGTAACTTGATACAGTATCATCTTTTCCCTAGTTTTTCATTAAATCCAATGGATGGTTTCAATTTCCTCCTTAACTTTGAAGTTTCCAACTCCAGTGATTATGCACAGACTACATTTGCTGCATGTTGGAAAAATAATTTTCTCTTCAAACTTTATTCAGCACAACCCTATCATCTGAATTATTTATTACAAATAAGCCTGAATTGAGCAAATCCCACTTTGTTTTCAAACAAAAGATATCAGACCGCAGTCTTGTGGTAACGTGGGCTGACTAACACCTGATAATGTAATGGTGTCACACGCCCACTTTGGGCTCAACCATGGTAGATCACATCAGTCTACAAAAAGATACAGTCACTACACTTCACTACAGTGAATCCTGTGACAGGACATCCTCCTGACTTGAGTCAATGCAACAACGTTTAGTCTATTTATTTAGTTATTTATGATTTAGTTGAGTTATTATTTAGATAATAAATGGAGAGACCACTCTCTAGTTATTGACTGGCCTCATTAACATTCATCCACAATGTGATGCTTAGTACATCACAGATCACATTTTCACCCTTACAACACCCAGGGTGCAGAGAAGGAAACACTTGTTGCTATGGAAACTACAGGCTTTTATCAAGTTGGACTGCCAGAACAAAGTCCTATTCATGGATTAAACACAAAATGATTATCATTTTAATCCCTTGCATTTAAACAATTCAAAATTCAAGCGGTTTTAACAGATAATTTGATATCCAGAACCTATGAGGAGTTTCATTGTCATGAATGGTACATTGAAAATGTGGGATCCCACACACCTGCACAAACCTAAACCATCTGGGTCTAGATTTATTATGTATGTATCATTTTAGAGTGTTCATAATTAGACTAACTCTTAAATACAGCCTTAATTTTGAAGTTCTTTTAAGAAGCACAGAAAGGTAAGACTGAATTTAACAACTTGCCAAATTCTGGATGCTCAAAAATGCTACATTAATCGTGTAAATCTAGACCCAGATGGAATCGTTCCCCAATAGAGAGCACAATCTTCTGAAGTAGCTATAGAAGTGCAATAGAATAGAGATAAAAAAAGATCTTTACATTTGATATTGTGCCTTTTAGGTTAGGAGGACATCTCAAAGCACTGTACTGTACTAATGACTGTACTTTTTAGGTGAATGATAGAAGGAAAGGATAGGTAGAAAAAAAGATAAAAGATAGAAAGAAAAAGATCTGGAACTTTACAATAAAAATGAAAATACAGAAAGAGAGTAAAGGTAAAGTAAAATCCACTACTTACCATGTAGTTTTACCATTTAATTTTTGCATGATTTAAAGAGGAATTGCATTTTTGGGCTCAATGATGACTGAATGGCACCAACGTAGAAGAAAACACTTGTTAAAAACCTACACCAAAGCTCTTATCTGTCAATTAAAGGCAGATTGAATAATGTTGTGCTTTTTTTAAAATCAACCAGGTATATCACGTGTGCAGAAACCGATCACCGTGCTTAATCAGGTGAACAGGATGTGTCCCTCCATGGAGAGAGTGTGCATTCCATTGCGACAATCTAACGCTGGAATTTCCATGTATAGATGGGAAGCATTGAATTTCAATTTTGTTTGGATACTCTTAAACCTGATGATGGTTTCCGCATGTGTAAGACACCCAGCTGACATTGTTAACATATACCCTTCTAAAGGATAGAGAGGTTAAGGGATATGGGGATAGGGCAGGTAAACAGAATTAGGTTAGATCAGCCATGATCGTACTAAATGGCGGGCAGGCTCGCGGGGCCGAATGGCCTACTCCTGCTATTACGTCTTATAGTCTAACATATACCCAGCAGGTGGTGCTGTTAGATAGAGTCTGAAATGGGAAGCAAAGTAACTTGATGTTTTACTTGTACTGTAGTATAAAGCCTGGGTTCCCAAATTTTCTGGGCTTTGATTATACTGGCCTTTTCCTTCACTTTGTGAACAGTGGCTTGTTTCATGAACCCGCCCTATCCACCCCAGCATTGGTGGACAGGTTTTCAGCCTTCTGCCCCTTGCTCTCTGGGACTCTCTCCTAGAGTCCCTTCGACTCGCTGTCTCCCTTCCCTTGTTTAAAGGCCCATCTCAAAATGTACCTCTTTAACCACACTTTGTGTCATCTTTCCCCTCCCATCTCCCTCAGGTCCCACCCCCAGCTCGGATACCCATCAAGCGTTGTCGAGCGCTTTGAGTGTCTTCCCGACATAAATAATAATAATCCTTGCATTTGATATAGTGCTTTATCACATCGTCGAGATATCTCAAAGCGCTTCACACAATATACTGTAAAGTGAATTGACTATATTTTCTGTGAAAAACGCAGCAGCCAATTGTGCACAGCAGCGTCCCACAAACAGTCATGGAGTCAGTGACCAATTTTTTTTAAAAAAGGGATTATTACTCCGGAAAGCGATCTGTCGATTGACTAACAACCGAGTTCCTACTTGCTGCTAGATAAACAGAGGCATGTGGAATAAAGAAACTTGCCTATACAAATTTAAGTTGTATGAATAAAAACAGGTGCCTCCGTTTCAGCAAAGTACAATGGATCATATAAATCCCATAAAACATGTGATCACTGAAGACAGGCAGGTACTGAATTCTTAACCTCTTCAATTAACAGAGTGGATATGAACACTGGTTTGCTTGGTAATGATTGTTGCACTAGATGTGCTATTTGTGAGAATGACATATTTGAACTTGACATCAGCTGAAGGAAAGCTGAATCCTAATTAAGATTAAAGTACTTATTATTCAAATCCATTCAACATAAATCATTTAAATTGACTATTTAATATATTCTCCAGTGAGGAATGTCTGTACTACAAGATGTCCTAACAGGTAACCTTTGAGCTTGGAAGATATAAATAAACTGGCTAAATGGAATGATTTATTGCAGTGAGTGTAAAGCAGAGTAATGCCTGGATGTAGATGATTGTTATTGTTAATGATGTAATGTTAATCTTATGTTCGTAAACCGTATGATTCTTGAACAAAGTGTGTATCTGTGTGCGTCAGTATCTGTCTGACCCGGGTGTTGAGCGGTTACGATATGTTGGCAGCTAAACCTTTTGTAGCCTAAAAGGTGATTTGTTTCTTCTTTCCCTAATGTTATTAATTTCTAGCCATTATCTGCTTACGACATTATGTTACTCCCATTAAGTGTATATTTAATTCCATTGAGTTGAAGATACTTTTAACTTGTCATAATGGGAGAGGTGAAACTTCTGACACACTAACTTCACAAGCTGTCATCCAAAAGGAGAAAGATTAAGAGATTCTCTTTTGTTCTTCAGTTTGCGCAAGTCATGGCACAGAGCACCAGAATGACGCAGAGGAAAGTTGAAATGATCAGCGGTTTATTTCATTTCCCTAAATGAGCATTCCCACAAAATCCTAAAGTGACTGCGGAATGAGCTGCTGTCTGACAGCTAGGCTTCATAAGCCATCCCCTTGTGCCGGTTGCTCAGATTCAATAGGTAGTTGCGGGGGCTTGAAAAACTCATGCTCTGAATGGCTCTTCAACCTTTGATTATACTCATCCTCCTCATGTAAATATGTAAATATCACACGGCACAACATTCAGCTTATTTTTTAAAAAAAGCAATTATAAATGCTATCTGTTTTTCTCATTATAATTTCTAAGCCTGTTACCACCTTTTGAATGTTAAAACATTCTCTCGATTCTATATTTAGTTTTAGAGGCCAAGAGGCATTTTACAAAGTTAAAAAGTCTGTTTTTTTTTTTTAAAAATGTTTAAAAGCTTTAAACACAAAACATGAAAAAACTTTGGGATATTTGTGAAAAGTGGGCAGTATTTGTCCTAATTAAAAGGCCAGGTTTATGATCTAGCCTTTTATTATGATCGTTTTGCAAAGTGCTTGAGGCCCCAGTCTTCCTCTTGGCCTCCAATCATTATTGTTTCATAATAATAATTAATAATAATCCTTGCATTTGGTATAACACCTTTCATGTCGGGAAGATGTCCGAAAGCGCTTCACAGGATTTACAACAAGATTACATTTGTATAGCGCCTTTCACGTCGGGAGGAAGTCCCAAGGGGCTATGATATGGAGTGAGTGTATATTTGTGGGCAAACATGGCAACCAATTTACACACAGCAATGTCCCACAAACAGCCATGCAGTAAATTACCTACTTCATTTGGAGGATTGTTGGCTATGACATCAGGAGAAACTCCCTTCTCTTTTAGAATAGTGCCGAGGGATTTTTAACATCCACCTGAACAGGCAGACCGGACTCGGTTTAACATCTCATCCGAAGGACGGCACCTCCAACAATGCAACATACCCCCAGCACTACATTGGGAGTGTCAACCCAGACTACGTGATTCCAAGTCCCGATGTGGGGCTTGCACTTACAACCTTCTGACTTAGAGGCGAGAGTGCTACCACTGAGCCAGGCTGACACACATATCGCACTAAGAAACTTCTGTTTAAACATAATTTACATCAAAGACACAAATGCCTACAATGCCCCTTGTCGTTCACAAACACTCGGAAATCATTTGTGCTTCTGCACTTTTTTTNAATTCTATATGGCACATGTAAGACTTTAGATGACATCACAAGAACAGTCATGTTGACTAGTTTAAGACCTGTGCTGTGCTAGGTCCCAAACTCCTTTACATAACATGTATTTGTAGTTGTATTTGACTGCCATTACAATTTACATGTGGAAATAACTGTGGTCAGTTGCTGGCCCCAGCCTTAGAACTTGTTAAACGTCACATTATAAAACAAACATGTTTCTTTTTTTAAAAATAAAACATACAAATTGCTGGATTTTTAATCTAGTGACACATGACTTTGGCACAATTGTTTTGGAAACCAAGCTATCTCTCACAGCAATGGTCAAAGCACACTGTTTGCAGGTTTCCCAATTCAATACATCAAAATATGTAACCATTCTATCTTCGTCAGAATGTGAGCTATATGGTACTGCAACAACAACAAGAAGATTGCATTTATAGAGCGCCTTTCACGTCGGGAGGACGTCCCAGATACTACATGACAAGAAATCTTCTGTATTTCCTCATGCTTTGGCTTGATGATTGACTTCCTCACACAACATCACCAATCTGACACTAATTGGCTATTACCGTGCAATGATCCTGATGCTGCCTCTGATGCTGCACAAATCCAACTTCAGACTGTTGTTGGGCAGGGGGAAGGAAAAGAAAATTAACTCGTTGACAATACATGTGAGTAACATAGCGACAAGAACAGTAACTGGCAGTAACTAGGTTACTGTTCCTGGGTGTTCCAGCTGAAAGTTTAAACTAGCAAATGCAACTGAAAAAGGTGATGGTATCTTACAATGGAAGTTGACAGTACTGTAGTACTGCAGTGGTTAATTCAGTTAGTCAGTGGCAAGAAGGTATGTCTAGCATACAAAGATTCTTTAAAACTACACAACAGGGAAACCAGCCAGTACAACAACTAAAGCCACTGATGTCACTGGTCACCATGGCATAAAAATAAGTGCAATAACATATGAACAGTCCAAATTGTTTTCTGAATGTGGACACCTAATATATCGTTAAACATAATCTATTACAGAATATACAGTTATTCAAATGCATACATATAAATACAAATCAATGGAAATGACACCACAGCACTGACACTGTATTAATATATGTTCATATAGCTTATACATACAGCAACATTCATTAGAAGCAAAAGTGTTTATCCTAAGCTTACTCTATAGATGCTGACAAACCGATTGGCTTTGTACAGGAAAGTTTAAGATTGTGTGGTTTCCTGAAAGTGAAAGGAAGTTAAAATATTTATTAAAAATCACACACAAATTTTAGGTGGTGTGTTGCAGAATTTCCATTCTTTTCTTTTATCTATAAGAACAAAAAGAATTGAATGACATCTAATCAAAGCGCCTACTTTTAAGCAGTCTGTGATATCATACAAGAGTTTCTGGTAATGAATCGGCATTGTCTGCAGAAAGGAGCTCCCAGATTTGCCATCGTTCTCTCTGCCATTCCACCCAGTCGGGTTCTGCCAAAATGTTTTTGTTTTTCTGACTGTCTGTTTGAGTTGACCAATTTCTATTCCCATCGTGACATGGCATGGATGCCTGCTGCTCAGACTTCATTGTTGGCTGCTCAGATTTCATTGTTGGCTGCTCAGAATTCATTGTTGGCTGTTTAGGCTTCATTGTCAACTGCTCAGGAGACGATGATTTTAGTTCAACTACCTGGGACGTGGCCACACATTGCTGAGTCTTCTGATGTTGCAACAATGTTTGTTCTGGTCCTATGCCAGATTTGCTGGAAAATGGAGAACTTGTATTTAAAAGGCCAGGGTATGGAGGAAGGGGCCGAGTGTCATTTCTGTTGATGTCTCCATGTTTAAAATAGGATGGCCATAGTTTCTTGTGTAAGAAAGAAGGTTCTGAAGTTTTCTGAGGAACTTCCTCTGCACTTTCTGTGAATTGTTGCTCTCGTCTGGAACACAAAGATTCCAGGCTTAGCTGCACATGCCTCTTGTTTCCTGCCGCATGAGGACTACTGCAAACACGGCTTACAGGAATATGAGTCCTGCATTTAGGGAGTCCTGCAGATGTACGAGTTCTTCGCACTGGCTGCTTCCCACTGTCCAGAGACAGCGTGGAAGAGGTCTGAGCTACTGGACAGTCTGCTATCAGGTTCCCCTGGGAAAGAGAACACTGTCTCTGTGGTAAGGTGCTGCTTTCGTAAATGTCTCCATATGAACCTAGGAAGAATCAGAAAAAGCTATTAACAAGTGATTTTGCAGGCTAAGGATCAAGTGCAGCTCAATTCCACTCTGAGCCATGTTGAGTGGGGTGATGCTGATAAAGGAAAGAGCGAAACATTAACAGTCCATGCCACCTTTTGGCTGCCAGCTCTACTGAGCCCTGGTTGGTTCTGATAAACTGGATGTACATCCATTTTCTTAGTTGAAGAGATTAAGAAGCCAGGCAGGTACTGAATTCTTAACCTCTTCAACTAACAGAGTGGGTGTACAGCCAGCAATCAGAAGCTACAGGTGCCCAGACCCCACCAGTGTCCAAGAGGATACAATTACAGATTTAGAAATACAGAACACAAGAAATGGTTACCAGTTTGGGATTTGAACAGTTAATCTAACAACTGCTTGCATATGCTTTCCAGAAATGAACGCTGCAGTCCATAATTATTTTTGTTGTATCTTATTCTTCGTTTCATACAATCCTAGATAACAGCATCTAAAAAGTACTCTAAATGTTACTGGCTGTTCAGAAACTTCCGAGCCAAAATCTCTTGACTATACATGGAAATCCCTGTCGAATGCGCTGTTTACTTACTGTGCAGGTTTGCTGATGGCCACACCACTCAAGCACTTTTTTAGCCGCAAGCACTTTTGGGATTTTCTAATAAATCTTCTAAGAGATTAATGGATAATTGACATCATGCTAGAGTTTGTATTAGAATTTGTTACATAACTCAATGAGATTCTAAAAGTAGTTTCAAATTCCTAAATTTCAAAAATTTATATTTTAGTCAATGTTGCATTTGACAAATGCAGAGTTATTATCTGCAAGTAAAGTACTTTTCCATGAGCAATCAAAGGTGTAGGATACAGATGGCCAAAGTATAAGAACATGATATATTTACAAACACACATACATACAACATAGGACTTATTGCAAAAGGGATTAAGGGATATGGGGATAAGGCAGGGTTAGGTTATTAGCTGGAGTTAGATTAGAAGATCAGCCATGATTGAATGGCGTGGCAGGCTCGAAGGGCCGAATGGCCTACTCCTGCTCCTACACGTTATGTTATGTTATGTTATGCTTAGACATTTTTATGCTTTGCAATGTTGCACAGCAAATGCCAACATATTTTATAGGAATTTTAATGCATATCTATATTATTGGATATTATTATCCAGACTGATCTGTTATCCTGTGTATTTCTCTTTACTCCTAAAATTGCCACATTTAAAATTTGAGGATGAGAAATTGCCTCAAAATGTTATCATTGAATAGATTATTGAGAGATGGGAAACTCATAGTTGGTATGTGGTTCACATATATATGATTTCAAATGTGGTTATCAACTGGGCCAATAATTCCAACCAGCTTTACCAATATATGCTAATGTGTTTCTTTTCTCAGTTTGTGGCTGGCCAAAGACAAAACTATCTGTGTTTCTTTGCACAAGTGGCCTCCTTCCTCTGGTTAGTCAAACCACAGAGCAAAATTAATCAACAAGTAGACCAAACCCTTCTTTCTGATTACCATAGCTGGAACAAAATGTTATGGTATTAATATAGCGTAGACAGAAAAACTAATTTAGGAAAATCAAATAAAACAAAATAAAATATGTGAAGAGGCCCGGTAGCATTCAATTCAGTAAATGATTCCCAAATAGAAAGTCATGTGAAAAATCTGAGAAGTGTCTGTCACAAGAACATGGATGTATTATCCATGGAGCACGGTCAAAGAGGAAGGTTTTCAGGCAGGACTTGAAAAAGGGGAGAGAGGGGGCAAGGCGGTGGGATTGAGGGAGAGTGTTTCAGAGTTTCGAGGTGTAGTGACGTATTTGGGGCATATTTCCTTAATGACAAATTATTTTTTGTTAGTAAGGGAATAATATACGGTAATAAAATTTATCTGCTTTTGGGAAATCAACTGAAACAAATCCCTTCACATTCATTAATTTTGCTGGTACATACTCTGAAAAATGCAAGTATCTGACAATACAATATTTTGAACAAGCATATATTTTTTGAACAAGAAAGTGTGAATCTATAAGAACTTGCATTTTTATAATACTTTATGTTGAAACAAGTCAGAATCCATCTCAGATAATTACAGTCAAGTGTAGTGACTGTTGTTTTGGAGGCAAAGTTTGCAGCGTTTGCACAAAGTCTCACAAATAGCCATAATCCGGAGGTTTGCTAACCAAGGCACCAGGAAAAACTCCTGCATCTTTTCCTTAGTGTCATCCTGAAGAAACAGACCGGAGCTGAGTATAATACCCCATCCAAAGTATACCACCTCTGACAATGCAGCATTCCTCAGTACTGCACTGGTGTACCAGGCTAGATTATGAGGCAAATCCTTGTGTGGGTCATAAACCTACCTCCGACCCAAAGTGCTGCCAACTGAACCAACCAGACAATCAACATAGGCAAAACATGAGCACTCTGTATCACTGACAGCACAAAACAATCTATTTTTAACTAAGAAAAGAATATTTAAGAGTTAAAGCCAATCTATAGCACATACCGCCATTATCTCCAGGAAATATTTTCACAGTTCACAGTGACATTACCGGAAGTACTTTGGAATCCAGCAATGTCACTGTGAACAGGATACAGCTTATACTTAAAATGAATATTTTCATGTAATTCTTATCATTCTAATAAATTACGTAGTGTGTGCTACAAACAGCATACTTGAAGAAGACCTGTGGGACTATGATTCATGTCCCACTGTAGTGCTGACCATAGCAGACTGATGAATTATCAGGTCAAAGTGCTCATGAATCATTACTTTTTTTAAATCAGCACACTTTGTGAAATGAAGCATGACTAGAATTACCCTGAAATATTTCACACAGATTCGAATTTTTGACATTTTAAGTGCATCTTGTCCAATAAAATGCCCGAGTTAAAACATTTTTCTGATAATCAGGTAGAATAATAAGAAAAAATCCCTTGTCAAGATATGATTGTATCAAAAGAGATTACTGTAAGTTAGACATTATAAGGTCTGACTTACAGGAATTGTTTAACATCAGAAACCATCAGATTTTATTATTACATTTGTACTTGTTATCTGTGAAAGATTTGGTTTAAGTTTCTGATTTTGATTAATTTCTTATAAACTGCATCAGAGAATCTTCTAATATTGTTAAAATCCCAGGAAATAATGTCCCACAAACAGTCATGAAGTGAAGGACCAATTTTACGTGAGGGCTTGATGGCTAGGATAAACTCCTTCCCTTTTCAAAAAGCGCCATGGGATCTTTCATGTACACTTGAAGAGACGGACAGAACTTTTGTTTAATGTCTCATCTGTACAGCACCTCTAATAATGCAGCACTTCTCCAAGTACTGTCGCCTCCCAACTGCGCTCTTTCCACCCATTCATTATTCGAACCCCTTCAGTCAGAAACTGCCCTGGTCAAGGTCACCAATGACATCTTGACTATCTGCGACCAGGGCTCCCTCTGCCTCCTCGTCCTCCTCGACCTATCGGCCGCATTCAATACGGTCGACCACGCTATCCTCCTCCACCGCTTGTCCTCCCACCTCAACCTTCAAGGCACTGTCCTTGAGTGGTTTAGGTCGTACCTCTCCCACCGCCTTCATTTTGTTTCCACAAACGGCTTTTCCTCCAGCCCCCGCACTGTCTTGTGCGGTGTCCCTCAGGGCTCTGTCCTCGGTCCCCTCCTCTTCACCCTCTATATGCTCCCCCTTGGTGACATCATCCGCAGACATGGGGTTAACTTCCACATGTATGTGGATGACACCCAACTCTACCTTTCCTCCTCTACCCTCAACTCCACGACCACCGATGTCCTGACAGCTGCCTGTCCGACATCGAGTCCTGGACGAGAGACAACTTTCTTCAGCTCAACGTGCACAAAACTGAGGCCCTCCTGATTGGCTCACGCCAGCGCCTCCGCACCTCAGGCACTGACAGCATCAGCATCCAAGGCTGCACTCTCCACCTCTCAAAGCCAGTCAGGAACCTCGGCGTTCTGTTCGACCCTGAGCTGTCCTTTCTTCCTCGTATCCGTGCCACAACTGGCACCGCCTTCCATCACCTCCGGAATATCGCCAGACTACGACACTACCTCATCCCTCACACTGCTGAAACACTGGTCCACCCCTTTATCACCTCAAGGCTGGACTATGGGAACTCTCTCCTCGCCGGCCTTCCCGGCACCTCCCTCCACAAGCTGCAGGTCATTCAGAACTCTGCAGCTCGTGTACTGTCCCGCACCAGGCTTCGTGACCACATCACTCCCACCCTCGCTCGCCTCCTCTGGCTCCCCGTCCCCCAGAGGATCGAATTCAAGATCCTCATCCTCACCTACAAGGCCATTCACGGCCTTGCTCCCTCCTACCTCTCTGACCTACTATCCCCCTACCTACCTGCCCGTACTCTCCGTTCCTCTGGCTCCAGTCTGCTCCACATCCCCCGCCCCAACTGCCCTACCATCAGTGGCCGGGCCTTCAGCCTCTCAGCCCCTAGGCTCTGGAACTCTATCCCCCAGTGCCTTCGCCGCCTCCTCCCTTTCCTCCTTCAAGGCCAGTCTCAAGACCTTTCTCTTCGACAGTGCCTTCAGCTCCCCTCTCGACTCTCTACCCCCTCCTCACCTAAAAACGTATAGTTAAATGCAGACACCTACAATATCCAGCCTAGATAGCTACAGTTATCATGGCAATCTTGTCCATGCATTATTTTAAAAAATAATTTTTGTCTTTTCTCCAGTAATATCTCACCTAAATTATCATTCGCATACAGCACCATCACAATTGACAGGTCGTGTGAACTTCAGATAAGACTAGTTTTAACAGCAGTGTATGTGGGTCAGCACATCAGGCCTGTTCAAAATGGTGAGACTGTTACAGTGACAGAAGAACAACAACAAATTACATTTATATAGCCCCCTTCAAGCAGGGCAATGTCCCGGAGCACTTAAAGAAAGCTGGATTACAAGCCATTACAATGACAAAGACATGATTGGATAATTGCCATGATGTCTCAGAACAGAGATAGATGCCAAATTGTTGGCCACTGTGGAAAATTGTGTTATTGGCCATTCTTTATATTCTAAATGGTTACATTCTGAAATACCCCATGGAGCTTCTTCAGCAGGTTCTATTTTATTCTGACAGCTGTGAATCATCTGAAGAATATACTTAGAAATGTTCTGATTTCTTTTCTAAGAAGTACAATTATAAAAATAATTCCTACCAGGAAACTTGTGCAAAGTTTTCACATTGGACTCAAAAGCCCCCCAAAAAACTGATGAACTGAAATCGAACTGCAAACGTGGAATCAACAACAACAATAACAACAACAACAAGATTCCATTTATAAAGCGCCTTTCACGTCAGGAGGACGTCCCAAGGCGCTGCACAGTTGGGTCATGACCCGAGCAGGATCAACACAAAATATTGGAGATTGCTCCTCAATCAGGGCTTTGAGCTCATAATCTATGCTGCCACTTGAATGCAGTGCTGGAGAAGCACTGCAAAGTTGGAGATGCCAACCTTTGGATGAGACGTTAAACCAAGGTCCTAACTACCTGTTTAGGGCACTATTCAAAAAGAGAAGTGAATTTCTCCCCAGAACAACAATCCTTTGGATAAAATTCATTCACTTCATGGCTTTTTGTGGGATAATAATAATAATCCTTGCATTTGATATAGCACTTTTCACGTCTTCTTGACGTCTCAAAGTGCTTCACAGAATAGACTGTAAAGTGAATTGATCGTATATTTGTGGGCGAAATGCAGCAGCCAATTGTGCACAGTAGTGTCCCACAAACAGTCGTGGATTGAAAATGACCAATTTATTATTGTTTTGTTTTTGGAGGGATTATTATTAGGCATGTGGAGTAAGGAAACGGGCCCAAGGTTTCACCCTGCCAGGAATTGAACCCTGGTGTCTCACTTGCAAGGCGAGTGCTCTAACCACTGAGCTACAGGACTCCACGGGATACTGCTATGTGCAAATTGACTGCTATTTTCATCAACACAATCCTGTGAAAATCCCGTGAAGCTCTTTGAGGCACTTCAAAGATGTGATAAGGCACTATATCAAATGCGACCTTTATTACTATTATTATGAAATTGCATGTATAGCAAGCCAAACTAAACTACGATAAACGAAAGACGATGCCACTGAACCATTACTAACAACCATAACAAGGACTGGAACCAAAAGGTCAACGATTTGAAATTTGGTCTGATTTTTGAAAAAATAATTTTTTTGGTTTTGACTTTGGCAACTGCTGCTGTGCCACCATCATTCAAAAGTCATCTGCAGTCTTTTTGACATAATATGCTGCGGTCAACAGTTACCAATTGGTCTTTGAAAATTTAGCTAGGCTCGAAGTAAAGATTGTCTAGGCCAACGTTAATAATACTGAGTATCCAGCAAGGTCTCCATTGGCTTGAGTCCCAGGGTTTCCCATCACTCAAATCCATGTCACAGGTTTCAAATCATCAGAATATCAGGGGTAGACTATTAATGTGCTAGCCTGTGTACGGAGCAACGAAGGAGAGTGTTTTCAGTGAGCACAATGAAACAAGAAAGTTTACTAAGGCTATGAGCTCAGGGAATGAGATGCAAGGATTATTACTATTATTATGAAATTACATGTATAGCAAGCCAAATTAAACTACGACAAACAATTCTTACTTTCTATTCTTAATTTTAAACAACATTTTATGCACCTGTGAACATCTGACACCACTGCAATCCTTATCGTTGATGCATTGATAATTCAGTGCAAAGACTACCAATATAAGGTACTAGCTGTACCCGTTGCAACTACACTTGCAACCAAAGGATGCAATATGGAATGCAGATCAACACACAGACAGACATTTCATCTTTATCTATGCTGATCTGGGAGGACTCCTGTGGGAAGGACTCCTTTTGGGAGGACACAGTGGGAGGAATCGGCGCTTTAGAAATGTAATTTTGTTGTTGTTGCCGCGGCTTAGCTTTGTCTGTGTTCTTTATTTTGTTCCCGCCACTTGGCAAAGTGCATGTTTTGTGATGCAGGATGCCACAGCGCCATGGTCAGTCAGCATGGCCACCAGGTGTAACTGCAGTGTGTCTGTACATACATACATACATACTATGACACACGAGGCCACAGTGCCACTTTGATTCAGCGGCCACCAGGTGTAACTGCAGTGAAAAACGCAAAACTGAAAATAACTCATGAACGATAGGAGATACCCAGAAACAAATATGCCCATGTCACTCCTAGTAGCAAGATCTTTCTGATGAGGTATAAATCATGTCTCTACATCAATTGGTTAGTGACATCCTTCTTGAAGCGCAGACAGACATTGTCATTTTAATAGTATAGATAGAAGATAGAAGAAGATTAAGCGATATGGCAAAAGGAATTAAAAGACCTAGCAAGATCTAATAAATGGTGGTACAGGCTTGATATTTTTATGTTTCATGTTCATGTTGGTTCATGTTTTCCGTGGAGTCCTGTAGCTCAGTGGTTAGAGCACTCGCTTTGCAAGCGAGAGACCTGAGTTCAATTCCAGGCAGGGCGAAACCTTGGGCAAGTTTCCTTACTCCACATGCCTAATAATAATCCCTCCAAAACCAAAAACAATAATAAAGTGGTCATTTTCAATCCACGACTGTTTGTGGGACATTGCTGTGCGCAATTGGCTGCCGCGTTTTCCCACAAATATACAGTCAATTCACTTTACAGTGTGTTCTGTGAAGCGCTTTGGGACGTCCTCCCGACGTGAAAAGCGCTATATCAAATTCAAGGATTATTATTATTATTATTATATTCTTAAACACTAGTGATGCAAATGTTTGGCAATTGTAGAACTTGTATATCAACAAAAACAACTTGCATTTATAGAGCACTCATCATGCAGGTAACGTCTTGAAGCATTTAACAGTGGTGTGGTTTGAAAACAAAATGTCAGTACGTGCTTGGAACATTTAGAGGGTATGGGTTGGATTGCTCTTATGTTTGTGTGCAGTCAGTCTAGTGGATTTTGATGTTCTGATTACCCAATTTCTATGCGGTAACGATAACGTTCATTGAAAAGGATCGATTCCACAGTGATGTTACAGCAAGCTTTCACTTCCATACAGGACCCACCGTCAAGATCACGAGCTCAGTGAAACGAGAATGCTTGCCGCTTGTCACTGTATTCTTATTCTCTGACTGGTTCCATTTTCAACATTCAAACTGGACTCATTCGTAGCTTTGTGCTAGGGTACATTGTGCAGATGGTGCAAGCTGAAGAGGTGTATAATTACAGTATACAGCAGTGAACCTTCTACGTAACCATTTTGTAGTGACATACCCTTTATAATGGTAAAGATATGAAGACTAAAGCTGTTTACTATTATTACAATCCCTGCTGTGAGTCAATCCTACATTACAGTCAATACTTTTGAAAGTAACTGTAATAAATATTGGACATGCCTTACCTTTTCCAGGCCACGAAACTGGAGAACTATCCCGAGATTTGGATTTTAAGTGTCCGACTAAGGCATACTGTTCAGGAACCTTAAAGAGTTTTTCAGAACCAGGGCTGATATCACCTGGCCTTTGCACCAGTAGCTTTTCTGACAGTACAGGAGAGTTATTGTCATAGGGTGAAACTTCTCCACTGGAGACCTTGTTGGAGTCAGTAGATGAGTGCCGTCCTCCCAACGAGTAAGAGACTTCTGATCGTGTCAGATCTGGGCTCCTATTAAAGATGATCACATTGTATTTTATTGACAAACTAAAGTTATACAGATAAACACACCAAATTAAACCGAAAGATTCCATTTCCTACACCAGTTATGCTGGTGACTTTTCCTACTGAGACGGCTAATTTAGTTCCATTTAGTCCAAAATGTTACTTTTTTTAATATTCATGATTTCAATTCAATTCTCTCCTTTCCTTCCATTTGTAATTTAAACAGTTCTGTGATTGCAACTCAAAGTCTTGTTCAATCCTATTTTGGATCCCACATTACGGTTTTATTACTCAGAACAAATTATTCCCTCCTGACTCTGAAATGTGTAATTAGAGACAACATTTTGAAATCCCTTTCCTGGTGGTCACTTAATTTCTGATGTATGTAATTGAAATAAATATTTTTCAAGTGAAGAAATAACACATTTAACTCGTCAGGGGGAGAATCTACAATCCATGAATGTCTCACTGAGTCTTTGTAAGTGAGCCCAATTACTGCTTGAAGGGTTACGGGGATAAGGTGGAGCATTGGGTTGAATGGGCACCTTGCTCTGAGAGTTGGTGTAGACTTGATAGGTTGAATGTGTTATAAATTCTATGATTCTAGGCTTTCTGGTTTTATTTTTGCAGAAACCATTTTAAGACCTCTGCATAAAGAGCAGCAAATTTTATTTAAAAAAAGGTTACTCATCCAGGATTCATCCAGAATGATAGATTGAAATGGTACACAATGAATATCAGTCATGCAACAGTTACTTTCCAAATATTGTTTTATCAATACACAAAAAACTACTGGACCTCTAGGCCAAAGCCTCCATTTTCTGTTTAAAATTAAGCAAGACATTTTTACTTACTAATCTCTAAGAAAGAGAGCTAGGAAAATTATTTATTACTTGTGGAATGCACATAGAGTATTTCTCATTTTAATATAATGTCAAGCATGTTCATGAAATGAATCATATGTGCACACACGTATGGGAAAACATGGTTTGATAACCACTTTCTTATTCAGATGCTATCCTATGAACAATCTGCATCAGTCCTACATAGTTTGTCAAATTAATCACAAATAAATATTTTTCTCATAGATGAATATTATTTTTGATCTTTTTAAAGATTGCACTTTATTAAACTATGCATTCAAACGTCTTCCAAACTCACAACAGTAAATGCACAAAAACACACTGATATTTTATAAAGAGGTCACCTTGTGCATTTCTGAAGCATAAAATACTTGCAAGTGATTAATAGCCATTAATAGACTTTTGAAGAAGAATATAAAAACAGTAAGGTAAAGAGTAAGGATAACGGATTGGAGAATTGAGCTCCAATGAATGAGGTGGCAATAATTCTTATTAATAAGCCAAATGACCTTCTCCTACTCTGTAATTTCTTTGATGGTATCCTAAAAATGTTACTTGTGGATATTGGTTGCTACTGCAAATGAGCTCCTGGTGAAATGCATTTGTCTAATTCCAGTTTGGTTCATACGGTGTATGAGCAGCAGAGGTCAGCACGGAGCAATGAATAGAAATGCCCTAAACTAAAAGATTGCATTGTTAAGGAAAAGCCATTGCAACATGAGTTACTTACGATGACTGCGAAGCTTTCCTACGCAGCAAGTAGTCAACAACATCTGGATCAGTCTCTAGCAAACTCATCAACACCTCATTTTGTAATTCTGGGGGAACCTAAAAAGAATATAAAGCAGACTTTATGAATCAGCTGAAAGTAGAATTCATTCCACGATATGCACACCCAATGACCTACTAATTAGAATAATAATAAACATGTCGCATTCTATCTTATATCTTTAACATTATCTAGCAGATAAGAGATCTATCTGCAGTATTACTAAAGCAATGTGAAATTATTGACTTTGTAATTTTTTAATGTGGTGTCTAATAGATTTCTTACCACATTTGGTGTTTCAGCAATTTAATAATCACACATTTCTTATTAAGACATCTGTTATAAACTGCTGCAAGGCAGACCTCACCGTCTCAATTCTATTAGCCAAGGTTATTGATTAATAATAAAATGCACGATTTTATTTAAATTCATCTATGTGATGACTGACGAGTTAGCCTTACCAGTGGAAACACTTCCTTACAGGAAAGGTGGAGGGACAGAGGGCAAAGGAAAGAAAAACTAGCCCATTGAATCTTATAGAGCCATTGTTGACCACTTCTTAGCTGCAAGATATGAAGCCTGCAAGTAAGTTTCTATGTTTCTAAGTTTCTTGATAATAAGAATAAGAATAATAAAAATAAATGATAATCCTTGCATTTGGTAAAGTGCCTTTCACGTCAGAAAGACACCTCAAAGCACTTGACAGGATTTACTGTAAAGTAGTGACTGTATTTTGTAGGTGAATGAGGCAGCCATTTGCACACAAAATTGTCCCATAAACAGCCATGAAGTAAACGGCTGGGGGTTTGTTGCCCAGGTCACCAGGAGGAACCTCCTAAAATGTTGGCCACTGAGGAAAGACCTGAAGGAGCATAGAAGTTTTTTTTTAAAAAGGTGAAAGTGATCACTTTGGTACATTGATACACATTATAAATTATGTCTCTGTAATTTAGTACAAACTAAGAGAGCTTTTTTAGTGCTCTGTAATTTTTGAAATATAATTGTAATGATACCCAAAACAGATTGTACATACATTTTTATTTCAGAATCCATTTCATAAGATTTAAGATGCATTATTACCAGAACTGTTTCTCATTAAGTCAATAACCACTTTAAGAATATTAATTTTATTGAATATAATAAAATACAGTTAAATCTTGGTAAACACTAAACACGCTGCCAGGAAGTTGTGTGCCATAGGATTCAGCTATTCCATAAACCCCAGATATAAATAGAAAATGTATAAACATTTGTACCAAAGCCAGTTTCATAATACACTCAGCAAATTATCCAACTCCTTCCTCAGAAAGCATTTTAATGCTTTAACAAAAACAAATCTTTATTTACACAAGAGTGCTAGACTTTGAAATTGTGCATTGAGTGGGGGCTATATAATGTGAAACTCGCTACTTTAATTTTTATCTATTCATGCTGTTTGTGAATCCGTCAATATTAATTTATTGGAAAAATGTTCCCAATTCTTTTGGCAAATCTGAAGGTGCCACGGAGAGCATTGAATGGGTGCAGGCGAGAAGTGAATCCAAGTTGGATGCTGTGTTGAGTGGGGAACAAAATGAAGGGATGCTGTGCTGAGCACTGAGGGGGTCAGACCCATGCTGGCCTCCCCTAAAATGCCCTCCTCCCTGCAACTCTCCCACTCTGTCCTGCTCTCTCTCCAGCCTCCCCGCCTTCTATCTCTGCTTGATCCCCCCACTGCCTCCCTCTGCTCCAGCCTGGGAATTCTCCGCTGGGCTCATCGCGGCACTCGGCGCTAGCTGTCCAGCAGCAGCCACACTGACCTCCCCATTCCCCACTACCGCTACAAGCCACCCGCAACCCTGACCCCGGGGGCTAACCTCTCCTCCCTCATCTGCATCCCCACCCTCCCTCTCAAACATTCCACTACCCCCTCTCATCCCACACATCCCCCTGCCAACTGTCCAGAAAATGTTGGACTTCGAGTCCAAAATCGAGGGAATCCGCTCAACTGCCACTGCCCTCCCAACTTCCAACCCCTCCCTACCCCCACCCCACACAATTACCCACCCGACAATTATCCATCCCTCCTTCCACACCTTTGAACCTGTCACCCCCTCCTCTGTCTTCAACACGGTAACCTCCATGAAGTCCACCACCTGCTCCCTCGACCCCATGCCCACCCCTGTCCTTAAATGCAGCTCAACCTCTTTGCCCCACTACTCGCGGACATCATTAATCTCTCCCTGTCATCTGGCACTGTTCCTTCCCCCCCTCAAAACAGCCACTAAGGTGGTGCAGTGCTGAATGGGGAGTTGATTCAACCTATACAATATCAATTTTGTATGTCAGTATAATTTTACTACTTCACGCACAATGGTATGTTTGAAATATTCTTTGTGTGGTATGTTCTGAGTTTACAGTATTTAAATAACATGAAGATGAGGCATTATTTACTCCCTGGTATTCCTGTATGTTACGGGCAAAAATTGTGTATTCACAATTGTTTATAAATCAAGAATTGTGGCTACTATCTGGTTGTGGATCTTCCCCCTTTTTATGACAGAAGATACGTAAATAATAATAATTATTGATTCCATTTGATATAGATCTCTTCACGTTAGGAGGATGTCTCAAAGCACTTCACCGGATGTTTCTGTAAAGTGTAATGACTGCATATTTTGTAGTCGAACACGGCAGTCAACTTGAGCACAGCAATGTCCCACAAATAGTGATGAAGGGAAATGTCAGCAATGCAAAAAAAAAATCATACTGCTGGCTTTACAGGCTGATAGCTCAGCTCAGTCAACCTATAACTAGGAAATCATGGCAGCCGGCGTCAGCCAGAGGCAGTAGAAGGGTCCATTTGTTCTGCTGCCTCTTGTACATTTGTCTCTTGAGGCCACATTAAAACTCACTTTGATGTTAGTGTTAAACACCTCAGAAAGCAACAAGGTTTCTTTATATTCCAGCTTGCTGGATATACACATAGCATCAGTATTACTTGTAATATTTTGTGCATTTTATTCTAGCAACCTGCCATACTACCCTGAAAGAGAAAACAATCAAAATATTAACATATCTCACTAATTCAGATACTGAATGACTTGCTTGGCATTTCTAAGTTCAAACACTATTTAAGAGCTTTGTTTTTCTCTCATTATTTTACTCTCGAACTGTAACTGCAATCAACCAGAGAAAAGATTTAATGAAAGATTTTTCACTCTGCTTTATCAGGGAATTTTTCAAGTGGAAAAAAGAAAGCAAAGACAAAGAAATGTAATAAAGAATTATTACAAAGAAAAATAAAGTACAGAATTACCAATATCAATTATAACATATTGTTCTTTGATGCAAAAGCTATGGGGCGGAAAGGTAAAGGACAGTCAAATACAGTTATGGTTAAAAATTTAAATATTTTTCTCCGAACACATTTTGTAATATTGTAATAACCCCTGAAGAGGCTTATCTTAGGGTTGAGCAAGTTGGTTCCAGACTCCCTTAATGCCAGTAAAATCACAAAGCATTAACCAAGCAATTATGGTCTGGCATTTGAGAGTGAAGAGGTTATGTCAAACCTATGAGAATTTCTGCCAAATGGTATATGCATTTTATCAATCAGTTTCCTGTTCAAAATAAAATAAATAGAATCCACATGGGGTCTATTTATTAACTGAATAGTATGAAGGAGAGGAATTACTGAGTGGTACAGGTTACTGGACAATCTGGACAAACTCAGCCTGACTAGTGGGCTCAGTTGGTAGCACTTTCGCCTCTGAGTTAGAAGGTTGGGCACTCACGCCCCACGTCAGGGCTTTGAACTCATGCGGTCAAGGCTGACATTCCAGTGCAGTGCTCGAGGGGTGCTGCATTGCTGAAGCTGCCGTCCTTCAGAAAAAACAATAAACTAAGGCCCCGCCCCGTCTGCATGTTTAGGTCAATGTTAAAAGATCCCATAGCACTTTTTGAAAAGATAAGGGAGCTTCTCCCATACACAATTTACAATATATCCTGTGAAGTGCATTGAGACATTCTCCTGACATAAAAGGTACTGTACCAAATATATGTGAATTACTAGCATTACTGTTAACTTGAAACAAGTTTGGGCAATCACAAACCAGTTCCTACAAGATGTGAAAACTGAAGAAATCATACACCTTAGATTGTGCATTCAGGCTGGAGTTAAGACAACATTGGACGAAAAACAGCTTTGCTCTGCATTGTTGTATCCAATTTAAGAACCTTTCCCATTCCTCAGCACCGATATCCCATACCGTAATGATCATAAGCATTCAAAAAGAATCCGAGTAGGAGCAACAGAGGCAGTAACAACAATGGCAAATGTTTTTAAGGATAATCTGTTCAAGTGGGTGTTAGAAATCCCTCAACACCATGCGAAAAATGAAGCACTTTTCCCTGATTTCTAATTAATGATTCTGTTGAAAACTGCTTGTGAGTTTCAGTCATCTTACTAGGCAACAATCCTCCATCTTAATTAAGCATTCACCTCATGGCTGTTTGCGAGATCCAATTGGGGCAGATACCTACAAGCCATCACTAGGCCTGACAATAATCGCTTATGAAGGCTTAGATTAGACATTTTGAAATGTTACTATGAAAATGCTTTATTTTTTTCTTTCTTTCACTATTGGTATGGATTCTAATGTAAGATTTGGTGATTTGAAACCTGCATCTTACACTTATAGTTCAAATTGTCTTATCAGGTGCATTAGAATGACTGAAACTCACAAACAGTTTCCAACAGAATCAATAATTTCAGAAGAATGAAAACTTATGCCCCGTAGCACACGCAAAATCAGAAAACATTTCCATTTCTATCTGCACAGGATTCTAGGACTTCACAATATTGTGTTTTTTTTAAACAACACTAAATTTGTTATTAACATTTTAAACTCAAGTGAATCGATTAATTTGAGTTTTAATGTCAAGGAGTTTCGCCCACACGTATACAGTCAATTCACTTTACAGCAAATTCTGTGAAGCCCTCTTAGACAACTAGAAGACATGAAAAGTGCTATATCAAATGCAAGGATTATTATTATTATTGCAAGCAGCAGCCTGG